TGTTGTGTGTGTGTGTCATTTAATGATGTATCAGGTGAAACAGAAAGTGCTTTGGCTCTGCCTATCCCAGTCTGTGCCACATTAGACCTTTTATTCTTAATCTTTGCATTTCCCCTTCTCCTGAGTAAGCAGAGTGACTCGTTTTCCAGTTCTCCCAGGCCCTGGATTAGGGTGGAGGATGGCGGCGCCATGAGTAAGTGAGGGCTGAGAGTAAAGTGAGGAATGAATCCCCTGGGGATGGAAGGGGGGAAGCTAACAGAGGCCTTTTGCCCAGCTTCATCTCCTTGAAAGGGCAGCTTCCTCTGTCTTTGCCTGCCCTTGCTGATCTAAGCACTCTCTTAGAGCTCTCACTCTCTACTACACACTCTCACAACGCAGCAGCATATGCTTTGGACTGTTGGGCCTTTGGCCCTGGTGGCTTACAGATCTGATAATGAATCTGCCAGGTGGAGGCCTGTTTTAATTAGACCCAAGCAATTAGAGAATCCCCTCCCCAGTAATGGCTTAATTTGACCAAGACTCAACCTGGACCCTGCAATTATTATATATAATAAAGTTACCTCTGAGCATGTACAGAATGCTATTTACTTCCCATGCATGTGCGCACACTCACACACAGCAGGGAAAGTGACTTCTGGAGCACTGCTGAAATTTGGGATGTGATTTAGACTACTACCCACAAGGAATTAAGGAAGGACAAGAATGGGGATCCCCAGTGCTACCAAACCTTTCTACCCAGAACCAACCCTGTAAGCTGTTTTTTTTTTCTTGGGGAGGGGAGACTATGGACAAGTAGAAGATTCAAAACAGCTACAATATGTTTATTCCTGCATTGGTACTGCATTGCTAGGACTGCTGTCAATCCACTTTGCAAAGCCAGCAAAGAGCAAATCCATGGTGCATGGCCTCCCTTATCCCAATACTAAATTCCCCCTAAGTGTCCAAACCCTACATGTTATGATCAGGACTACATTTTCCTACCTCCAGAAGAGGAGCAAATGGCAGTCTCTCTACCCACCCAAGTCCAAATATACAGCATGTGAAGCCAGCCCAGTTGTTCTGGCACACAAAACTGAAAATCTCACAAAGCATTTCTCTTTGACAATAAAAATAAAATAAAAACATTAATTGAACTGCTCTTTCATGACACTTCAAGTCTGCTGCCTGAGGGTGTGCCTCACTCTACTTAATGGTAAGGCCAGCGTTGCTTACAAAAAAGATAAAAATTAGCCTCATATTGCAGAATGGTATTATAACTTGTCTAAGGCCTCTTCCTATGTGCACAACAGAGGATCCATTTGAATCATGAACCTCCTGGTTTAGAGGAGGAGACACGATGAAGCAGTTGACATAAGCAGACATAAAAGGAGAGCATGCCGGAACAATTGAAAGGTATATCTAGCCCAATATTCTTTTCACACAGTGAGCAGCCAAATGCCCATGGGAAGCCCACTGCAGGGACAGGAGTGTAAGTGTGTACCTTCCATCTCATGATGCCTGGCAACTGAAACAGAGGCATACCATTTCTGATTTGTTGCTGTTGTTGCTCTGTATCTTCAAGTAGTTTCTGACTTATGGCAACCATAAGGCAACGCAAATTCAAAAATCTTCAACCCCATCCCCACAATCACACAAACCACATTGGTTCTCAGACATATTCTCTCCCTTTGTGCCAGTTGTAGAGGTTCAAGATACAATCGTTAAAGGGCTAGTTTCTTCTAGAAAAGAATCCCCCAGAGCCATTGCAGCATCTGTATGAAATTCCATGAACATGCACATATGTTATCTGTTGAGAGAGGCTGTCGGGAGTTTTGGGGTTCAGTGCTATCAGTATGCTGACAACACCCAACTTTCCACTTCGATCAAAGGAAGCTGTTCTAAAATGGTGCCTACCAACAGTAATGAGCTTAAGGGAGAATAAACTGAGGCTTAATCTACACAAGACAGAGGCGTTCTTGATCAATTGCAAGGTAGATCAGGGGAACAGGGACTGAACCTGTACTGGCTATGTTTATGATCTCTCTGAAAACACAGGATTGCAGTTGGGTTTTACTCATAGACTCAGCTTTGAA